AATTCTAGTGCGCAGGCTATGATTTTCTAATAAAAGGTAGGTCTTGAGGGGGGGGTAGCATATATATATATACATACACATATATATACACATATATATACATATATACATACATATGCAGACATATACATATACACATTTACAAGCCAAATCTGCATCCATAGCCTTGGAGGATGCAGGTGAGTATGAAGTCGGCGAAGCTAATGCAGGCTGAGCTGGCGGTGAAGCCTTTACAGATGCGTGTAGCAGGTGGAGGTACAATATCACTAAAAAGGGGCAATGGGGGTTTATAGGTCTGTAGGTCTGTATAGTTCAGGGCAAATCCAAACCACATACAAGTCTGTAGGGTTTAGAGGAGAATGATATTAGTAATTTGTCAGGGGGGGCTGGAGTGTAGTCTAAAGTTTATGGGTATGAGGCTTTCTTATTTCTAGGACTGAGGATGTTGGGCGATTTTGGGCAGGGATGGGAGTTTGCCTATGTCAGCAGTGCGACAACAGGAAATAGTCGTATGAAACAGGCCTTGCAGGTCCCAAAGCAATTCCCCACAAATCACATCGTGTAGATAACCATTCATGCCTGGTTTTGGCGCTACCCCAAAACTGAAAACCATATGCTGATTCTCATATGTTTATTATGAATCTAGCAGATATGTACACAGAATCTTTTTTTTTAACAGCACTAAAAATATATGCAATCAGTAACAACATTTACAAACATAATCAAAGAAACCATAGTGGGGGCCTTGGCTGCCTCCTTGCTGTCTGTCCGCGGCGTGTCCTCAGAGGACTCATCCAGACCTGGTGATCAGGGCAGCATCTCGGGCTTTGTCGAAATCGAGGGCTGTCGGGACAAGCCCAGAACCAACAACTTTCTGGCTCTTAGTAGGGAGTAAGGCTTCTGGAGCGAGGCATTGATCCTTATAGGGAAAACGCATGAAACCGTCTTCTTGACCTTTCAGAGAGCCATCATGGTGGTCTCGAACGTGTATGGGCTGAGTTTGCAACCAGGTAAACTCATAGGGCAACCAAATTAGGATCTGGAGCCAAGAGATCAACATGGGGAACACAAGACCATGAGACCCATCGCCATGTTCCCGGCTAAACACCATAATAACAAAACACATGAGCTATGGGCTAAACGCCTAGCATCCCCTTAATAACCCTTGTAGTGCTGCCCTATATAATCGTCTTTAAGGAGTTTAGACTACAGCTCCTATTAGACCAGCGAGTAGATGTTATGCAAAAGAAGAGAATAAGCCAGGGCCCCCGAAAACATGGTGTCATCCACCGCCCTTACTCTGGTTGTAACTTACCTTTGGTTAGCTGGGAATGAAGGAATGGAAAAGAAAATGGACATTATCGTAACGGGTTATTCAGGGACTACTATAAGGATCCATTCCTTCATTCCTAGCTAATCAAAGGTAAGGTAGTTTCTGATACTGTCCGATGAAGCCTAGGTCGCGGAGAATTGTTGGGGTTGGTCTGGCCGCAGGCACGCCTCCGGCACGTGAGCAATTGAACTTGTGCGGTTTAGGTCTGCAGTCTGTGCCATGACTTTACCAGTGTGTTTCTCGAAATCAGGTCTTTCATCTATGCATTGGGGCTAATCGGGGTTCCGAGTGGTGAGTGAGAAAAGAGCACGCAGACGCATGAGTTCTGTTCCGCTTCTTCCCACCTGAATTAGCTGTGTTTGCAGCTGGCGCCGGAACCTGGGATTCTGCGCTCACAGGACACACCGTTGGGGGTTTGGGGGATGTGGGGTTTGGGGTCTGGGACGCTGGGCACACATGTCAATGTCTTCATGCCGCTACATCTCACCAATGGCATCTGCGAGTCACATTCCGGGATACAATCTTCATCACTTGTGCTTCTCTGGAAAGGTAGCAAGGAGGGGCTTTTTTACCCCTAAGCCCTAAGCTTCAAACCCTAAACCCTGAACTGGGCTTCAGGGTTTGGGATGATGTCGAGAGAATGGCCCCATGTCCCCTGAGCTGTTCGCCGACGCTTTGCTGGCAGGGGATGCACCAACGTCACCTGCTGGCAGAGATGGCGTTCCTTATTCTTGTGAAATTTTTGGGTATTGGGTTTAGGGTTTAGGGTTATTGGGGTAATATTAGGGATATATTATTGGGATAATGGAAAATCAAATGGAAACTGCTATTCAGGTTTTGGAGGTGTGTACACAGATCTGACTACATCTGAAAGCTCGGCTCTTTTTCTTCAGGGTCCCTACCGTAGGGCTCCTCAAATTTGCGGCGAGTACTTCAGGCGCCCAGGACTTTTAAACCTTGAACGCTATACATATATACACATGTATATAATATATATCTATATATCTTTATAATGTGGACAGAGGTCAAGGCAGGTTTGGGGGGATACACCTGATACCGTGCCGAGTCCACCCAGCGAAGGCCCAAGGCACACGTTCTCGGAAAGAATGTATTCCGTTTAGGGTCTAGGGTTTAGGGTTTTGGTATTGGGGATTGGAACAACTTTGGGTATGCCCTCATGCACATAGAGGAACTCTAAGAAGGTTGACAAAACATCTACTGCTGAAACAGCGGACTGCTCCAAGAGCAGTCCTAGCGAAGCCTTGGCAGCTTCCTCAACTTACTGGAACCATGCGCAACACTGATAGTGGGGCTGTTTGCTCAAGGATGGCACGGTGAAGTTGCTGTCAGCAAGTACAGGTTTGAGCCGTCAGCAAACCTAACGGGATACCCTGAATCCCCCTGATCCTGGAATAAAACGAATTCACAGGGCTGGCCCCCGCAACAATTACCGACATGAAAGTCTATCCTGGTACCAGCAGATATATAACCCCAATATAACCCCAATATAACCCTAATATAACCTTAATGTTACCCCATATTCTACCGTAATGGTTTGAAGAACGGCAGCTGTGGCAAGCGCACGGATGATGCTGCTGTTGCTTCGACTCAGGGACTCCAGGGTACGCGCGAGAATCACAACTTTAAACGCGTTTAAGGTTTCCAAGGAGTTCATATGGATTGCGTACTTCGGGAAATTCCCATACATTTTGCCAAGCTGGTGGTCTCTGGACTACATACCAGAACTATGATCTATGCATACTCCCAATATAACCCCAATATGACCCCAATATAACCCCAATATAACCCTAATATAACCCCAATATAACCCTAACCTAAAAGGCACAGACCCTGCTTAAGGAGACCACCAGCATGGCCTAACCCGGACATGCCACGAGGACCATGCGGGCCTTTGGCCGGCATCACCTGCAGCGGGCTCGCCTGCGGCATGGCCCAAGAGGCAATCATGTCCATACGGGATGTGTATATATATAATATGTTATATGTAACATGTACTTTATAGTATAGAACACGATATATTTATAACATTAAATATCTACTATTATATATATATAAATAGACATTATCGAGAGGCTGCACAATCTCCACGGGTGTATATATGTATGGATTTTATGGTGCCACACAGTATAGGGCAAAATATCGCAATGTCAGTGATATAGTGGATATGATCAAGAGCCTGTTGGCGAGTGGGAGTGAATAACTTCAGTAAGCTTCACCGGCCAGCGGTAATCATTCCTGCGATACGAACTCCGACAGGGTGTATGGCATAAGAGCTGCTCAGGAATGGCCAGCAAATTTCCACGCCATTTCCTCTTCGTATTTGATTTCTTTAAGCGATCATGTTGCTCAAGCTGCTATACTTCCAGTGAAGCAACACCAGAAAGTAGCCACTACATGAGCATTCAGTCCATCGAAGCTTGTGAGACAGATGCCAGCATTGCAAGATTGCTAGCTCATCCGCATAAGGAATCTTTCGGTCATGCCTCGAAACCTCCGCTACGAAGGGTTTGCTGAGTGAGTGACTTATTTAATGACACGACCAGAAAATCAGGGGTAAACATGAGCTGATGATTCATGAAATACAACTGTGCTGTGCAACGCCTGGCCGCTGGCGCAATCTTGAGAACTGAAGTCGTTTTATTTCAGCACCAGCATTAGCAACACTATGCGGCTATGCATGTAGAGAGCAGCTTGCATGCCCAAGTTTGTTTTTGTTTGTAGGTTCTTGCCGTTTGTTGGGAATGAACCAATGGACAACACAACGGCGACTATATGGATGGATCCATTCCTCCACTCCCTTTTAAATACCTTGCAAACAACACGTAAGATACACCCAAACCTTACATACCCCCATGGACCCCAGCTTTCATTTCATGTTCCACTTGCCTGTCCATTTGATGATGCTAACAACCCTGAATCCAAAATCCGATATAAAAGACAAGGTAGCTAGGATTTAGGTTTTAGTGTTCCTCCATTCCTAGCTACTAGGAAAGGAGCCCTTGCCTCGCCAAGACCATTGTGACCTGCACCAGCAAGAGGGTTGCTGCATAACAAATGCTGCGTTCCTGTCAACGATCTTAAGTTACCACAGTGCAGATATCTGAGGAATAACCTGCTTTTGTAATGGTACCATAACATTTGCAGATATTTGAGGAATAGCATGGCTTCCTTGTAATGGTACAGTAACGGCTAACTCAGTCTAAGTTCCCACACAGCAGGTCGGAGTGGGAATCTCTCGGACACCCCCCCATCCCTAAACCTCGAACCCCGAACTATGGAGAATTAACTGGACAAGAGCATCCCTGGGGATCCAAGTATACAAATAATCCCAACAATGGGCCCCAAAGTCTGCAAATATTACCTACATTGGGCTATTGGGGATCCTTCGGGCATGGAGGAACACCAAAAGAAAAATTCGACTATGGCATCCCACCGCTGATTACCCCAAATGCTTGGAATCCTCCCTCAATATGGGCAACCCCTACTTTGGCCCCACTGCCTAGCTCTAAAGTACATCCCAGCTGCGGGCCTTGCTCTCCGAAGCTGAAACTGCCAGCCTGGAGGCGTCATCCGGGTCAGAGGGGATTTAGTTATAGGGATAACGATAAAGAAAATGGAAACTACAGGGATTATAGGGACTATACAAGGATTATAGGGTATACATTGGGGTTATATTGGGATAATGGAAAAGAAAAAAGGAAACTGCCATGTAGTATACTAGGGTATATGTCGGGTTATATAGAGATAATGAAAAAGAAAATGGAAATTACTATTTGGGGCTATTGGGATACGCCCCTATAATATCCCAGTTATCTTCCTAAGTTCCCCTGACAATTCTTCAACTCTCAAGACTACGTAGCCCTAGGCTTCGGATTCCTAACTGTGCTGGGAAGCAAAACAGGGGCCAATCTTCGAAACTGCTGCATGTAACAGTACCACTGTGATATAGACTTCTTGACAGTGCAATGCTTTCGCTATAAATCCCACTCCCTCCGTAATAGTTAGCAACACCAAGGCGAGTGGTTTAGGGTTTAGGCATCCGTAATATTCCGTAATTGTTAGCAACGCTAAGGCCAGTGTGATTCTTCCAGAAGGGAACAAGATTTGCGCAGGCCCAAAAATGGCCCAGGAAATGCCCCCAATGCCATGGCATCAACCCCAAAAATCCTCAAAGCAAAGCTCTGTGTCCTGAATCCCTATAGCCCCCCTTAAGTAGATAGAATATGGGGTATATGGGGATCTTATTATAACATACCCAAAGCCATATTCTATCTACTTAAGGGGGACTATAAACTCTCACTCCGCTAAGCCCTCAATTTAAAGCCTCCTTGCTACCACTTAAGCCTAAAACCTTACTGCATGGTCCCTCTAGGCATCCTGAGCTCCCGAGCGTTTTTACCTCAACCCAGTTAAACCTGAACCCTTCATGTCCTTACCCCCCCTAAACCCTAAACCCCTAAACCCCAAACCCTAAACCCCAAACCCTAAACCCCCTAAACCCTAAACCTGATCTCCTTATGGTCCCCAGGGTAAGCCCCCTTGCAAGAAACACGCACATCCCTGAGGCTCGCGGCGCTGGCATCCTGAAGAGCTTCGGGAGAGGCCAAGGAGCCCAGGGAAGAGCCCTGTGAGATCTTAGCTCTCAGATGGTTTCAGGATTTTAGGGCTCAGATGGTTTTAGGATTTTAGGGGGACAGAGAAAGCTATAGAACTTAGGGCAAGGGCTTGGAGGTTTAAGGGTGGCTAAGGTTAGGGGTTTGAAGTGGGATTCTGGTTTAGGGTTTCAGGGTCTTGGATTTTGGAAATCTGAGGTAGATGGGGTTTCAGGGATTCCAAAGGAGAAGGTGCTCCTTCAAGAGCTTCAAGGGTTGAGCCGCCCTTCACAGTACTTGAAAGGTGAGGGGGGCTCAGAAAGTATAGTTATAACCCCACAAGCCACCTAGCAACCCCAGTCATCCTCGTCTTTAAACCAACTTGCCAATCCCCATGACCCTCCAAGTATGGTTCCTTTTCGGATTCTCCCGAGAATGGCGCACCCGCCGGTACTGGTAGGAAGTGTACAGGGGTCGGCAGATCTGCTGGCAGGGGTCGTGGGGAACGCCTAGCGGATAATAGTGTGTGGTGTGTGTGTGTGGGGCAAAAAATGATATATATATATATATATTGTGTATATATATATAGAGCTTTGGCTACATTTTTTGTTTTCTGGCCACAGGCTTGACGCTGGAGTGTTTAGAGGGCTGGAGGGTCTTGGGGAGCTCTTCTCTGCGCGGACCATCTTCCGGCTCATAGGAGCCTGGAGTCTCTAGCAATGGGAGTTACATGGAGTTTTCCCAGAAATACACAGAGGACTGTTGTGTGGGCCCCCTAATGTGGACATGTTGGACTCTCCATTTTGGTCATTTTGGTATCCCTAAATATCTTGTGCCATAACATAATCTATATCCAAAAGGGTCCCATCATTTTGAGAATAACCCGCATGGGCCTGGGATGAATGGGCTTCGGGTGTAGAAACCACATGGGCTCCCTCATGGTTCGAATGGAGAAAGGATATCATGACATCGGAGAGGGCAGTTTCCTCAGGGTGGCACCGCAAGTTGGTAGGCTCTTTGAACCCTAAACTCCGAAGCCTAAACCGTAAACCCCAAACTCAAACCCTGAATTAAAACATCCAGAAAGTGCAGAGCTGCTGGCCTCAGGGGATTTGGCAGCCTGGCAGGGCAACTGCAAAGAGATATGCTTTGTTTCACTAGACAGGCGGCAGGTTCATCTACTGCAGGGTTGTATACTTGCCATGTCTTGCCCGGTGTCTTCCAGCCTCTTTCGACTTACGCGGGTCGTTGGGCACCTGCACTGATGCCGTATGCAGCTGCAGGATCTTACACTCCTCTCAGCTGCCTGATATGAAACTTCGGACATCTTCTCCAGCTCGGAGTATGGGATGGGTAAAAACATGAAGGACATACTCGCGCACTAATTACTGGTCATTACTATGGCAGCCATGGTACTGGTAGCAACTGCACCAGTACTACTGGAAACATTGTCATACTAGTTCCTGATGATGACTGACTGAGAACATCAAGTCGTTCTGCCTGTGGCTGCTCAACCACCTGAACCAGTGGCGATATTTGCCTGGCTCCAAGCTGACGTCTTTCTGACAGTTGGGTCCGTTTTTGGGACTGGGGTTTGGGGTTTAGGTCTGAGTGTGGGTTGACTTTTCTGGGAAGGCCATGGGCTTGCTGAAAGAATCTAAAGCAGGGTGACATTTTCCAAGCTTGTGAGATTGCTGGAGCAAAGGCAGGCGCCGCCTGACTAGTACTGTATGTTCCCAACAAAAAATTGAGACCAACAATGCGCAGAATACCAAGTTCTTCCAAAGGAGAATGGTTCAGTCTGATGTTGTCGCAACCACACGTACATGGGCGCCTCTGAGCTTTTTCACGCGCGCTGAAGGGGATCATGGCCTTGGCCAACCAATAAATGCCCAGGCCGCCAAGGTACAAATCTATAGTTTTGAGCTGGGCCCACAGCCTGCAAGCATGTTAATCGGATTGTGCGCATGTCGTGCGAGCTTCCCTACTAATTACGTGTCTGCCTTTCAGCCAAGTCATGCTATCTTGGTGGAAACATGTGACTAGCCATTGACGTGCAATCTAGGGCTGCCGCGTGCTAGGGGATGCCAGACAGACTAGCATGTCAACCTCTTCAGCTTTGCCACATCCTAGAAGAACATCAGGCGCAGGCATCCAAGTCGGCTTCCTCCGTGTCCTCTGCTTCTTCCTGTTGCACCGGGATCCTTTTCAGCACCGAAAGCTGAGAGGTTGTTGAGCTGGGAAAAGAGAAGGGCCATAAGAGGCACACAGTAATTCAACGGTTGAGCAAGATTGCCCACACAAGTCAATAGTCGAACATGTTTACCCTCCTATCCCAGAGCTTGCTCCCTACTCGTCCTCTCTGGCATTCTGGTCTGCCTCTCTGGCGTAGGGTCGCTCGCTGGCGTCGTGTTCTCGGCCACCTGCCCCAGCAGTCCCGTGGCTTCTGAGCTTGCTGACACAATAGAACCACAGAAAGGGTTTCAATATTTTTTGCGTTTGTGGATTGGTAGTGTACGGGAAGGTTCAGGGGTAGGTCTAAGTAGTGCTCTCCTTGGGATAACCATCTAAAGTCACAACCAAATTTTTGGGACTTACAACCCCACTCATAATTGCGCATAAACCTTCAAGTAAGTCCTGATGTGGGGATTCCTGCAGAGGTCCGGAAGATGAGGAAGCTTCAGATTCAGGTGTCCAGTCCAAATGCGATGAAGCTCTCTCTCTCATATGGGGGGCTCCCTGAATTCCGGGCCCCTTTTGAGTTGTCCCTCTCGTAAGGATGGTAGTATTTTAGCCGCGCAAGGTGGGCCGCAATTTTGCAGTGCCGAATTGTCTTGCTACTTTGTATGTGGCATGCCTTGCCCTGAATGGCATAGATAAAAGTAGATCAAGCGCATGGTCACATGCGTCACCGGCTCAGCCCATGCTTTCAACCCACAGTCACAGGTTCTCCAAAGAAACTTTGCTTGAACATGATCGTGCGCCGCTAGCGCTGAATGTGACCCCCTTTCCTCCATAAAAAAGGGACGGCTTCCCAAGCCTTATAAGCTTTTCTGGTGTACATTGTGGGGGCTCTAATCGGTGTACAAGGCTACATGACTCCAGTTGTCCATTTGCTTCTCTATGTTCTTCATGGGTTCAGGGTTTCGGGATCATGTAAGTACAGTCGAAACTCCCATCGCCCACAATAACCTCAGACATCCCCAGTTCGAACCTAGTTACAAAATCCCCTTCGACCCTCCGAAAGTCAGTCAGCCTCTGTTGCAGCAGCAGGCCTGTTCCACCAACATACACAGCTCACTTGTTCCAGCGAGTTTACTCTATATAATATAAGAGATACATCAGGGCCTGAAAGGGTTCGGGGAAGTTACACGAGGCGATGTAAGGTTTCTTGCTGCTGCTGATGGGAGTTGGTGGGGGAGGGGATCCCGAAAAAAACTCTGTATTATAACCAATCAATCCCTTACCAAACATCGTCATCCCCTCCCCAACTCCGCCCAGAGTACCAGAAAGCTCAGTCCGATTCCTATTGCCTTTGCAAAAGTCTGGGTTGACACCTCTGCACGGTGAAAAGGAAGTTTGTCCACGAAGGAAGCCTGTTAGTGCCTTGATGTCTAATTACACGGCCCAACCGACCTGCTGGATTTGTATCAGCCCTGCGTCATTCCGCTCTCGGCATGCAACCTGCAAGTCTGCTCAAGCCGCTACTGCTTCTTTCAACTTCTTTACTCACTGTATGCACTGCATGTCATCGCAAGATTGATAGATACGCATGCAATGTGAGTACTTTGGAAAGACTGAGACCCATGATGCCTGCTGATCCCTGTTCGCAGCCAGAGTAGGATGATAGAGGTCTGCTGCATCCTGCTCCTAAGTTTCTTTAAGCTAGCATGCGCAGTACCATGTTTCATACACTATAGTATTATACTATATTCTACTATAGTATTAATATTACACTATGATATTAAAAGATCTTATACTATGGTACCCCTATAAATCCTGGGCTGGCCTCTGGTTCTCTGCAGCCAGGGGCTTCTCATTGTCCTCCCCTTGGATTGCTGAGGCCAGTGTTGCGATAACGTGCAGGCTGAAGTCAGTGTACCGGGTTGCTGTTAAGGAACTTGAACTAAGTTACCATACGAGATTTTGTGTATATATATATATAGAAAGAGCAAGTGATAGGGTTTCCCCAATACAGTAACTTAAATTCAGTTCCTCAACAGCAACCCAGTGTAGTGGAATGTTACGGAAGGCTTACGAAAATGAGCAAGGGAGTCCGTATCTCAAGGTGTAAAAGTTTTAGGGGTATGTATGTGGGAGAATTGGGGACCACTTATATACATGACTTTCCCAACTGCGTGATAAGTGTTGTACTGTACCTTCCCAAATACTGTATAACACTTATCAAAATTACCGTGAGGTTTCAGGCCTTCCTCAACATGGCACAAGTTTCCTAAGCCCCTCGTCGACACTGCCCTCTGTTGCTTCAAAGGGACTGGGGGAGTAGGTTGTAAGAACACTAAATCCAAAACCCTAAGTAGTAGTTTCCATTTTCTTCTCCATCATCCCTTTATAACCCTATATTACCCTATCTTATACCAATATTATCCACCTCCCCTCTGGGGAGTAAGTAGGGACGACTATAGGGAGCCTTCCTTCGACTAAGCCTAAGTGGACGTTCCCAAAATTAGGGGTACCTTTTTGGGGTGTCCCTATGATGAGGAATATAGTATATGGGGTACATGTTGGGGACCCCTTATTTAGGGAAGCTACCTGGTCTTGGAAGCTGGCGAGGCGTGAGCTGGCGGCTGGGGAAGTGGAGATCCTGTGGAAAGAGGGTCTTTCGATGAAGAGGGCAATCACAACGCAAGACATGGAAGTTAAGTGACAGTAGACGTAATAAGTGGGATGACCTTTCTAGTTGACGGGGAAGGTCATGTCTTTTGTTAGCAAGTCTGCTAAATTGGGCATGTCTGCGCCAAGTCATGCAAGGGCTTCGGCCTTGCAAGTACGCGGTGACTGTAGACACCTGGTGAATGATCACCTAAACCCAAAACGCTAAACCCTATAAACCCTACACCCTGTAAACCCTAAACCCTAATCCCTAAACACAAAGCCCTCATCCCTAAACCCTCCCTAACATGGATTTGAAAGTGCCTCCTTTGCTGCCTTAAGGGCAGCTATATGAGGGACTATATAGGATTGGGGGTTGAAAGTTGTTACCTCAATAGGGGAAAATCACATGGACAAGAACATGGACCATGACATGACTTTGAGATAGAGAGATAGAGATACCAACATCATGAGGATGTTTACACAGGGGCCTAAGAATTTCAGACTAACTTTGGGGGCCCCTCAAATCCCACCTACATCTTGCAGATATGACTCCGAAATGCTCCATGGATTCTTAAGCTGTGGATTCCATCTACTTATGGATGCCCACAGCATCACAGCGCACACACACACGCATACACACATAGTAGCTTCCAAAAAAAGGGGGGACCCTCATATAGACCGAAAAGTATTACAATCTATAGTACCGGGAGCCCAAAATGGTACCCCCAAATGTTGGGAAACCCCAGTGAACACTAAATCCGATAATAAGGACTCTAGACTATGGCTGATATGCCTATAGGGACCACTTTTGAGAAACTCCCCAACAGCCTCGGCGGAGCTTTCAGAGGCAGGGGCTGCCTACGATCATGAACCGCGATTCAGGGTCTCAGGGTTTCAGGGTTGAGGGCTTTAGGGTCCAGGGTTGGGGACGGCGAGAATTTGGGGGTTTACCAGGGGTGAAGTGGAGCCCGAACCAGGAAAGTTGCAGAATCGCCCGGATCAGAGCTGCAATGAAGTAAAGCTTTGCTTTGCAAACAGGCCTTTGGTTAGCTAGGAAGGAATGAATCCTTATTTCCATGTTCTTTTCCACTCCTTGATTCCCAGCTAACCAAGGCCCAACAAAATGGAATGCTGGTTTGGAGGTGCTCAGGGGTCTGCCCTGCATTCGAGTTGATGAAGCTTGTGCCCGAAGAGTTGTGCTTGCAGCTGCTGCCCGTCCCTCAGAATCAAGCACCCAACGGTGACTGCTCACGCTCTTCTAACCTTCACCATAACCAGAGCCATGTTTCAGAAAATCATTTTCAGGAGGCTTAAAGCCGAGACTACAGCATGACCAATTTGTCGAGGGACATGTTTGGTGAATACGAGTGCGCCGATACCTGCCAAGCCTAAACACATTGACAGCGGGGATAGGTTGCCAGCTTTCATATGGGCAATCATGACTCCACCATGAAAGCAATAGATGAGACCCCAACATGACAGCAACACAAAGCTCTGACGCAGCAATACCAATAAGAATGATGAGTTGCAGTCCAAGATGCAATCTTTGGCCCCTCTTCCTCCTCCTGCAGCACAGAAGCGTTGGAGGAATAAGCTGTGGGCATGACTCTGCAAGGAGACCTCATGCCTCTGTGGCAGGGCGACATGCTTAGTGAGCTGCGCAAGAACAGAGGCCAGTGCACCTCATGCTGTTCTAAAAAGTTACCCCAGCAAGATTTCATATTCAACATGTCCTGTGGCAACTTATCACCAAACATCCAAATTTGCATCCTGGAAGAGTCTCTTCAAAGGCTTGCATCCCCGGCAGCAACTGTGAAAAGAGCGCTCCTTCCGCGGCGTTCCACTCGTTGAGCTGCCATACCAGTCCTCACATGCACCAGAAAATGGAACACTCGTAATCTGCTTGCTGGGCTATGCAGTCAAACCATTTGATGAGGCTTATTATGCTTGCAAGGCAGAACAGCAGTCGTAACGATGCTGCCTTTGTAAATGTGAAACCAAGTCCAACAATTATTATTAAACATTACTTGCTTGCCATGGGTATCTCCAGATGTAGGAGAAATGCAAGCCGAGCTGCATTGTCGCCACTGCGGGCGACTGAGGCAATCGCTGGCGGCGCGGCTTTGGGTTGCTGCTGCAGAGGCGCCAGGGGAGGGCCCAAAGGCACTTCCAAGATGCCTGGCCATAGGTGCTGTAGGGTGAGTTGTAGCACCCCCAATAGTACTAGGGAACTCTACGTGCTGCTGCTAAAATTCAAAACTGGACGAGGAAGACCCCCTGCAAGAGCAATCTCCATCATAACCCATAACCTACTGATGAACTGTGCACCATGGCTACCGACTTTGCTAAATCCTAGACTGTCGCCTCGCCGGTATGGGATGATAAGTGCTGGCGCAACCACCCTCATGACAGAATGATGATTGCCCACACGTCTCAGAAGAGATTCTACTTCTTGACTGGTCTTACCCAATATCGTAGGAGCGCAAAAAATAGGAGCTTTTATCGTGCTGGTGCATACACATACAGTTGCTGCGTCTCGGAGAAACTACCCACCCCACTGCATCCAGGAGTAACACTTATAGCACACTTTACAGCAACGGTCATGACTGCTTTCTTCTTGCTGTGTGTAGTATCTCTTGCCAAACCTTGCAACGATCCTTCACTAGCAATCCGAGCAACGGCACGACGCGGCTGATTTATACAATCCTGCAAGGTCTATCTAAGTCTATAATACAAGTCATGCTCTGGGCCCCGAAGTACATACACGGCATCTACTTCGAGGCCTAAAGTTTATGAACAGCACTTATGACTTCGGGCTATAGAGTCTGTGAGTTGTACCTCCCCTGGGCCATTTGGATTCCTAGGTAGAAGCTGATCGGCAGAAATGTGTCAGACTCTGTGCAAGGCAACGGGCAGGCAGACAAGAACGCGGCCTGATACAGGTCTATATGGGGTCATAAGCGCTATACTCCCGATTATACCGGGTTTAGGGTTCAGTGATCAAATACTCAAATGGAAAAGAGCCTGGACGATGAAATGTAAAGCACCACTAACCATGAAACGGCAGAAAAGACGCACACCGGAGGCAAGTTTTACAAATCATCTATAGTCAAAATGGCATGACACGGCTTGCACATTGCAGATTTCTGAAGTCCTGTCATTGTGAGGATATCGGCCCACTTGCAGTACGGCAAAACATGGGAGGTATGGGAGAGCGCCTCCTGTCTTTTTTCGAAGCAGCCGTTGGTGCTACAAGGATGAGGCACACCTGCTGTCGAGCTTGAAAGGGCTCATTGGCATCCCTGGGACGTCCACCTCCACTGCAAATATGTGTCCAGCGTTGGGGTCAGTGCACGTGGCAATGTCGGCTTCAGTGGTGCCCATTGCGGTGGTGATAAAAAGAGTGCGGAAGTACGGCCCTCCAAAGCAAACACTTGTTACCAAGGACACTGGCAGACGGACACGAGCCACGACCTTTCCTGTAGCTGGGTTCACACGCAACACCTGGGATGCACGGAGGTTGGCCACCCATAGAAAACCTTCGCTGTCCACACACAAGCCGTCAGGCGAGCCCTCGTTCACTTTAAAGGCAGTTCTCTCTGGACCGCTGACAGCACCGCTGCGGGCATCGAAGTTGAAGGCGCGCACGGTGAGTGTTGGAGTGTCCGTGTGGTAAAAGGTGAGGTTGTCTGGGCTCCACCCCAAGCCATTGGCCACAGTCACAGCACCCACAGCCTCAACCTTCTTCAGAATGTTGCACTGCATGCAGTACAGTGCCCCCACACCCTCCTTTCGAGGCTTATTCATGTCCATGGTACCAGCAAATAGCCGTCCAGCAGGGTCAATCTTTCCATCGTTGAAGCGGTTGTTGGGGTGTGCCTTCTGTTCAGGATGGTACAGTCGAGTGATGTGCCCATCTGTCTTTCGGAATAAAGAGATTCCAGCAGCCCCGCCGAAAAGCAGCAAATCGAGGTCATCAGTTGTAGTGACAAAGCCAAGTGTTTCTCCAATCTGCCAACGGCTCAGCTTCTTCGACTGGTCCCGGTAGCTGCAAATGGCCATGCCGGAGATGTCCACCCAGTACAGTGTGTCGATGCGGTGATCCCAGCAAGGTGACTCTCCCAGCAGATCCTGCACCACTCGTGGCCGCCCACTGCTACCGAAGTAGCGCTCCGCCGTGTACTCCACCAAATCCGCCATAGCTTCAGAAGCAAATGAGCTACTAACACTGCTATGCACCTTCAGCTTTGTCCACGCAGCGCTTCTGGATGAGATGCTACGGTGCAGCACAAGGCGTGTTCTCAATCAAGAACAGAAAAGCTTTGCCCTATTTGCCTGGTGCAGATGAGACTCTGATTTTGGAGACTGCGAGTAGCTTGAGCTGTCCGTGAAAGCTCCACTGACACACATGTTCCTCGAGAACCTGCAGCTAGCTCTACGCTTGAGAACTACCCCCAAGCCTAACAGCCCAAGGGGAGCTGTAAGGATGATGCGTCGGGTAGAAATCCGTCGGTCATCAGCCCGACTCCACCTGCCGATGCTGTGCCTTTTTTTGCCTCTTGAAATACCTTGTAAGCATCCCATCAGGCAGGGACCCACAAGCTTCCCAAATACCCCACGGCCCTACAATAGGCAAAAAACGTCTGTGTAGAACCCCCTAGCGTGCTAACTCCCATACCTCCCTGAAACCCTAAACCTGCCTATGCCCATGGGCAAAGAGAAGCCAGGTCAAACTTGCCCAGCTGACCGAGGCTGCCAAGAATCCCACTATCCTTGCCATGGAATTCATGGGGCTACCATGGCCCTCCCCAACCACTAATATTCAGGGCGTTGGTAGGGATGATTGGGGAGTATGGGGGTGTATTATGCCTTCTTTGGCCTTGCGGGTTTGGGGAGGTCTCATGGGGAAAGTTCACTGTCCACTAGTGAATTTCTCAGAGATTCGGGGGCCTAGAGACCCCAGGCACATCTAGAGCTTATACGGGGATAATGGGAGTGAGTGTGAGGATTGCATCGGGAAAATCCCACCTTAGGAATTCCTCTTCACTCTATGGGTGGTAACATGTGTGGGATCCATCAGGGGAGGTTATGGGTGGTTAATGTTACATGTTTCAGATATCTCCAGAGGCCTCGGGGTAACCCAATGTTTCGGAAGTGTCAGAGAAAGGGAGGGGAAAGGCCTCTGTCGTGTGGGCAAGGCATTGTCATACATACATCCACGCGCGCCATCGCAGGAGCTGAAATTTGTGGAAAGCCTGGTAGTAAGGTGAGACGAAGTGGCGGTGCATGAGAAACCCAAAAACATAGACACCTATTCTTGAGGTCCAGGTAAACCCTATACCTATAGCATCAAGACACCCGACAGAAGAGTCCGACGCGGAGTGATGTCCCTTGGTAGGCCACCACTAGCTCATATCCCATACGACTCCCCTAAAAGCTAACATAATTCCATGCGAGAACGGGGTGGTTTATGGAATGGATCACTCTACTTATCCCCTAGATGAATCCAATAATTTAGCAATTTCCATGACGTGTTGCGGTGCTGTAATCCCTAAACCCTAAAGAATACTAGCAATTTTCATCAGAGCCGGCCTCAGCAGGTGCACCCAAGTCGACTGGCCTCTTCTTTTCACGGCCGAGCGCCTCATCCTGGCATTGAAGAATGGAATACTCCGGGTATAAGGTTTAGGGCCTCGGGGTTTCGGTTTTAGGGGTTGTAGGGTATAGGGCCTAATTAGGGTTTACAAGGTTTCGGGTTTGGGGCCTAGGGTGTTTAGGCTTTGGGGTGAAAGGTTTTCTCCAGTCCACCTAGTAATAACCTGATTGCATCCGCCCTCCGGGAAGATGGTTGATACGCCTTCCCTTCACCTCTATTTTAGACTCTGATCAGCCTAAAACCGCAAGCCCTCTCCTAGTAATGAACCTCCCCACAGTCCCCGTCCCCTTGTGTATTAGGGGGAAATCCTTCTGGCAGAGTCTCGGCTTTATATGTTGACAATTTCGTTCATCTTCATAGTTCTGGATTTTCTTCAGAGGACCCATGGGACCATAATCTTCACACGTGAGCCACAGTCTGAACTCCTAGTATCGCGCTTAGTAGTCCCCACAGTAGTCCCGTATATAATCCCTTAGACGAATTTTGACTATGGCTCACATAACAAGGTGGACATGTTCTAATCCTGAGGAATCTTAACGCCATCATGGCGAGACCTGGGAGCGCTGGTAGCCAGAATTGAGCTCCTAAAGTTACACACCCGTTGGAATAATATGAGGGTTCTATTGGGGTTCTATTGGGCTTTAGGCCTATATTGGGCTTAAATTGTGATAATGGAAAACAAGATAGAAACAACTATTTGGGCCCCTATAAGGATGATAGTGCATTGTGGTCTCTGTCGGGGTCTGCTATGATTGAAACAGCAGACGGTTTGTGAAAGCATTGGCAACAGAATAAGTTTTGCAGAATCCTGGAGCAATGCATGCGAAACGCAGCACCCCTCAACGAGTGGTTCTGCAGGCACCTAAAAGCCTCAGCCCACAAAGCGTCTGGCTTAGACCAGGCCGGACTGTATTTTCCTTGAGCTGCAGATCGGTGTATCGCTGCTACACCAAACACAAACTCACAAAAGCTTGCAGGAGGCATGGGGAGAATGAGCCCC